TGCCAAAAGAGGTGTACCTCTGAAAGACTTTGTTACTGAGCTAGGAGAGCTGGGTGCTGCCCAGAGATAAGAAGGGCCCAGGTGAGAGGCTGTTTCAAAACTCCTACCATGGTGGAGTGTGCCCAAGGCTGAGTGTGTCCCATGATAGGTTTTGAGGTGTGAAGGAGGCAAGATGAGGGTCCAGAGCTCTCATGAGGGTGGGGACCCTTGAGCGTTCCAGATCTTGTGTGCTTCTATCAATAATCCCCTGGAATCAAAAGGTGAATTACAAAGATGATAGGTGCCTTCCTGCACCTGGACCTTCCTGTTAATGATTAAAAAACATTCCTGAACCAATCAATTCCTGAGCTGTTGCCCAGAAGTATGAAGACCCTATAGTCTCTCCTGAGAGTGCAGTGGAAGCTGAAGGCTGCAGCTGCTCTGTATATTCTTGGCTCAGTGGTATCAGGTAAGAGGACAGGGTGCAAATCAGGCACCTTACTGTGAGCCTAAAGATCCAAATTGTCTTGGGGAATCTGAAAATTGGGCATTTTTTTATTTTAGGGAAGTGTCTACAGTTAGTTCAGGGCCATACTACTAGATCCAATTCATAGGCGATCCTCCTGTTCACAGCCTCCCAAGAGCTAGGATCACAGGCATGCCACCATGTGCAGTCTCAGTTACCATTTCAGTGCACCCTGGGGATGGGACCAGCACAGCAGAACTGGGGATCAAACCCCCAGGTCCTGTACCTGCTTGCAGTTGTTTTAATCTGTTGAGCTATTTAGCCAGCCCTTGGGCCATTTTGGTACTCTAACATTTTATCTTGTGAGCATTTTATATATGTATAATAGGGCAAATGAGATTTTGCTAAATCTCTTGCTGGAGAATACAGGATTATTTCTATAGATAGACCCTGTAGGTAGAGACTCAAGTGCTATGGACAGAAGTGCTGTCTGCCACATGCTTCATCTCAATGTACGAAGAGCTTCAGAGAACCAGAAATAAGAATAATGCAGTTGGAGTAGAGGATAATTTATATACAGGCACATCATATAAGTTACTATGTTGAAACCTCAAAAATTCTACAAAGCAGGGTGTTTTTTCTTCCCTGTACTGCAGATGAGCATATGTAGGCTCAGGGAGATTAAGTGACATGTCAAAGGTCACACAGCTAGATATGGGAGAAAAAAAAGAGAAGAACAGCTTTCCCATATCATGTTGCTGCCTCTCACCTTCTTCTGGTAGTGCGGGGTTGCCTCCCTTGAGGTAGCAGCAGAAGGACACACGCTGACCAAGATATCCATGGTGCTTGGGCAGGTGCCCAGGTTCCTGAGCTACTCACACAGCTTTCTCTTTCTTCAATAGGACTACAGG